TCTTATTGAGATTCTATTCTGAATATAGCACGCTATGTTTATTGCCTCTGACAAGAAGGTCTTAGCAACGTTTGTCTCATTGATCATGGTTCTGGCCATTTCTTGCAATGTTCTGTTCTTTCGTTCTACAACTCCATTTTGTTGGGGAGTTCTTGCCTCTGTCATTAAAGAATGACTCAAAATCTTTATTTTCAAATTCTCCACCATGATCACTTCTGACTTTAACGATTCTAAGATCCTTTTCATTCTGAACTTGGTTACAGAAGGTAACAAACACAGAGTGTGACTCGTCCTTGTGTCTTAAGAACTTTACCTATGTCCATCTGCTATAGTCATCTACGATTACTAACCCATACTTCTTACCACTGACTGAAGCAGTTTTAACTGGTCCAAATAAGTCAATGTGCAGAAGTTCTAATGGCTTAGAGGTGGAAACAACATTTTTGGATTTAAAAGAAGGTTTTGCAAATTTGCCTTTCTGACATGCTTCACACAGAGCATCTGAATTGAACTTCAAATTAGGAAGTCCTCTGACCAGATTGAGTTTGTTAATCTGAGATATTCTTCTCATACTAACATGCCCCAATCTTCTGTGCCAGATCCACTGCTCGTTGTTAACAGACAGAAGACATTTTACATTCTGACTCTTTAGTTCAGAAAGTTTGATCTTGTAAATGTTGTTTTTCCTCTTACCATTAAACAGGATAGTCCCATCTTTCTGACTAACAGCTTTACATGATTTTTGATTAAAGATTATATCATAACCGTTATCACTTAATTGACTTATGGATAACAGATTATGCATCAATCTGTCTACTAGCAGAACATTATTAATAGAGGGAAGATTTCCATTACCTACAGTTCCAGAGCCAATTATCTTTCCCCTCTGATTGCCTCCAAAGCCAACGTGGCCTCCAGGCTTAAGTTCTAGGCTTTGGAACATATGCCTTCTTCCCGTCATGTGTCGTGAGCAGCCAGAGTCCAGGTACCATGACTGGTGTTTCTGACTTGCTGCTAAAGATATCTGCAACATGTATTATTTTGTCCTTAGGTACCCAGATTTTCTTGGGTCCTGATTTGTTAGTTTTACCAAAACTCTGGTTGAATTTTGGTTTCACAGAGTGCTTACTGCTAGTATATTTGATATCATGTGTGTGACCATACACAAAGTGTGAATTTAGAGGAGTGTGTTTAATGGTTAAGTCCATGACATTCTTTGGTGTAGGAACCTTACCTTGGTATCCTATTCCTTTCCTGCCGTTTCTGCTAACTCCATAGATCATTGAAGCCATTCTGCTTCTATCTATGCTTTTAGCTAGGAACTTCTGGAAACTGTGATCATACTCCTTGATGATCTCATCAGCGTTGCTGGGAGTTTCAGAAATTGGTTCCTTCTGAGAGTTTTGTAAAGTGTTTTCTAATTTTGAAATCTTATTTCTCAGCTCAGAATTTTCCAATTTGAGACTCTCAGACTTATTAGAGTCAGATTCAAGATTCCTTTTCAGGTCTCTGAATTTAGCTCTAATTTGCTGATAACGTTCCAGAATCTCATTAAGGCTTTCAGCAAGTTCAGCCTTTGTAAAGTTAACAGCGAAGTTAGGAAATACCTCTTCAGTGTCTGATTCTGAGTCTGATTCAGAAGCTTCACTGTCTTCTGAAATGTTAGCCATGAGAGCTATGTTTGCCCTTTCATCATCTGATTATGAGTCAGCTTCAGACGAGTCAGAGTCATCCCATGTAGCCATGAGACTTTTCTTCTTCTCTCTTCCAAACTTCTTTTTGGGCTTTTCCCTCTGAAGCTTTGGGCAGTCACTCTTGTAGTGTCCTTGCTCATTGCACTCATAGCAGATGATGTCTTTGGTGTTTGGCTTCTTGCTACTGGAGGAGCCTTCAGATCTTCTGTATCCAGAGGAAGAATCTGTCCTTCTGTATCTGGAAGAAGACTCGTTCTGATCAGATCTTCTGGGATTCCTGAACTTCCTTTGTCTTTGCTTCCACAGTTGATTTACTCTTCTGGAGAGAAGGGAAAGTTCGTCTTCTTCTGATGAGGATCCATCAGATGTTTCTTCAACTGCCTGCAAAACTTTAGACTCAGATTTTCTGTTAGATTTTAATGCTAAAGGCTTACCTTGCTTCTGAGGCTCATCAGCTTCTAGCTCTATCTCATGACTTCTGAGGGAGCTGATAAGTTCCTCCAGAGTGATTTTGTTGAGATCTTTAGCTAGCTTCAGAGCAGTAACCATAGGCCTCCACTGCTTGGGTAAACTTCTGACGATTTTCTTGACATGGTCAGCAGTAGAATATCCTTTGTCCAGAACTTTGAGACCAGCTACCAGAATCTGGAATCTGGAGAACATAGTTTCAATGGATTCAGATTCTTCCATTTTGAACGCCTCATACTTCTGAATGAGCGCCAGAGCTTTTGTTTCTTTGACCTGAACGTTGCCCTCATGCGTCATTCTGAGAGAATCAAAGATATTTTTTGCTGTGTCTCTGTTGGAGATCTTTTCATACTCAGTGTAGGAGATGGCACTGAGGAGGATGGTTCTGGCCTTGTGGTGATTCTTGAAGTCACGCTTTTGTTGATCAGACATTGATTTTCTATCAATCTTCTGACCACTTGCATTCACAGGGTGCGTGTATCCATCTGTCACCATATCCCACAGATCAGCATCATGTGCTAGAAAGAAGCTTTCAATTCTGTCTTTCCAGTAGTCAAAGTTTTCTCCATCAAAGACTGGAGGTTTGCCACTGAATCTGTCTCTGTCCTCATTGTTGTCATTGCTGATGTGAGAATTGTTTCCTGCCATTGTGTTTTTCTGACGCTGGATCTTGTACTGACACGGTTAAGTGGTTTAGCTCAGAACCAGGCGCTCTGATGCCAATTGAAGTGGTGAAAAACACAAGAAGGGGGGGTTGAATTGTAAAACTGAAATCTAATGCAATTGACAAGATATTTTTATCCTGGTTCGTTTGATCTCAAACTACTCCAGTCCACCCGTCAAGGTGATTTCGCCTCTCTCCAACGAGGTCTTAATCCACTATATTCAACTGAATATTACAGACTGCTTTAACAACTGCTAAAGCCTTCTTGATTCAAACCACAACCCGGTTTGTCAAGGTAACACTTTTCTTACAAAGAGATAAAACAATGTGTGTGGATGTTTTCTACAAAACTGTATCACAACTGTGATGTATACACAAATTGAAGCTTAGAAACTAGATTGCTAAACAGTAATGGAATATCAGAGTGTGTGGTTTAGAAAAACTGGTAGAACGAAGATTATGGTTCAGCTTTTGTGCGTGTAGAGATTTGGAGAGCATTAACCATTTCAATCTTCAAAGCCTTGTTTATATAGCATTGAGATGATGAACGTTGGATGCAATATTCTTGATTCAATGCTAATAACAAACTTTCCTTATTGAGCAGATCTTGTCTGGAATGAAGCCGTTGGAATTAATTTGCTTTCAATGCACAATACCGTTGCTTACTTAATGCAAGTTCTGGCTTGGCTCATTCTGATTCTGCTTCGCTGCTGATGAACTATTGTGTTTCTGTATCAGAGTATTAAGCGCAGTCTTGTTCATCAGGCTTCAGCATGTATGTGAGTTGATCATCTGATTTTGACGTTCTGATGTAGCAACTTCTGATGCTGATGTATGAAATCAAGTTCTGATGCTGAATAGATGTGATCTTGCTTATTTCAATCAGCGTATCTGCAAGTCAGAACATAATAATTTTAGGCAGCAGATAGTTCATTCATGAAACTTATAAATACTATATCTTTTCACTTTGTTATCATCAAAACTTAAATATAGGGTAGTAGATTCAAACATTGTTCTAACAGGTTAGCATGCCAAAGAAAGTCTAACAAAACTATCCTATAGGGAACATGCAATGAGAGCGAAGTCGTGATCTCAATTTCTAAATTGAGTGACTCATCGATCAACGAGAAATAAAGGAAAGCGATAAAAATTCCTATAGGAAGCATGCACTGAGAGCGAAGTCATGATCTCAATTTCTAAATTGAGTGACTCATCGGTCAACAAGAAGAAAAAAACATAAGCATAAGACATATAGTAAATGAAGTGCGGAATTCCTACTACAGGTCTTTAAACAGCGACTTTGAGCGCACGCTCTTTATTTCCTACTTCTCATGATACCTAGAAAAGCGGTAAAGTGCGGAAATGACGAATAAAATGAGGTTGTGATGATACCGAATGAAGAAGGTCCATTGCCTCTTCAAAACCATGCAAGCAATAAGAAAACTCTACCAAAAGCCACTCCGCGCGAGTGATCAAAGAATTAATCCCCGAGTATTCCACATTGTGAAAATTACGTCATTCATTCTATCACAAAATCTTAGCTAAAAATATGAAAATGATTATTAAACATAAAATAATAGAAAATTCTAATAAAATTCTAAAGAATAATCCTAAAGAATTTAAAAAAATGCTACTATTTTATATCATTATCACCATTAAAATCATCAAAATAAAACGAATCTAAAATTAATAACATAAAAAGTAAGAGTAGTAAAACAGAGGGGGTGTATTGTTGAGACCTGGAGGCATGCTGCAACAAGAATTAGAATGCCACTAAGCCCATTAGGCTTGATACACGAAATAAATCACCACAAAATAAAAAAACTTCAGGCTTGAGAGCGTGATTTGGCCCAGGCTCACCACCATTACCCTATTATCATCAGCAAATGTAATTGTCTTGAATAATAATAAAAGTTTATCAATAAAAAAAATTTGGTAAAGGTTTTAGGGTTCGGAAATCTAGACATAACTTCTTCTCTAAAATATGATCGACCCCCTCTCTCCTTCTAACAGCGACACATATCTTCTACTCTCTTCTCTGATTACCGCAATAGCCTTGTCCATTCTTTTTACCCTCGTCACTTCAACCGCAACCCTTAGCCACAACCTCATCACTTCCTTCTTCTTATTCTGATTGTCACCGCGCCATGGTAGTCACGATAGCACTGTCTTCTTCACATCAGTTTCACAAACGGTGGCCCTACCGTCATTTCTCCTTCTTCTATTCCATCATCGCTCGCAAACTCAACTCTCATTCGAATTAACCATGGATTCGTAAACCTTTGACGCTTGATGACACTCGAAGATCCCAACATCAAACCTATCGGAAGTTGCTTCCCGAACCTAGGCCTACCGCGAATCTCTCATGAAACAGGCAAGGGAAAATGGATCAAATAGCAAGTGAAGACGCTTGCTGTAATTCAGAGAAGAGGACGTGTATGCGATTGAATCAAGAAAAAATGTGAGTCAAACCTGATTGAAGACCTAATAGTTGAAGTGAATCGATCGAAATTCAATTTCAACTAACATGCTGATAGGTAGAGAGAATTAAGAGAAGTGTAGAGATCTTTTTGTTGGTGAGTTTTCCTATGATTCTGGTTTTTTTGCTCTTGAACCATTGTATCCGCTCTTCCTCTCTTTCTGTTATGATCTGCTATCCCTCTTTTCTTTCTGGAGTTCTGTTATAAATTTTTCTGTTGAGGCCGTTAGAAATATGTTATAGGACAGTTAGGATTGTTGGGATATGGTTTTAGATTATAATTTTATTGGGAAAACAGTTGAGAGTTTGTTATGACAATTTGGAAAGAGGTTGGAAATTCTGTTAGAAGATAGGATAGTTAATTATGTTATGCGGTTTGGGTTAGTTCTATTTAGAGATTGTTTTATAAACTGTTATAGGTAGTGAGGGATGGAAGAGTTTTGTTTTTTCTGTTTCTGACAGTTAATTCCTATTCTGATTTAATGATTTTTATGGTTTAATGATTTTACTTTGTGAGCAAATGCAGGGAAGATTACATACCACTGTAAGGCTGTTTAAATTGTGGTGTTTCCTCAACTGATGCAAGGTTATTTACTGGTCATGCGTGAATACATAAGGCCTACCACAAAGTTTCTTCAATGAAAACAATGATGAAGCCATGTTAAGCGAGGAAGGCAAGTCGTGAGGGAAGAATTTGGAGAAGGCATGGAGTTAAGGCAATGATTTTAAAGCCATGATGATGCTAAGAAATTGGAACAACATGATTAGGCATTGTATAGGTTTTGGTAGAAGGTATAGGCCTTTTTTATGTGAATTTATTTGGAATTGGGATGTATCTTGATGTAATGTAATGAAATATTTGAACTTCCTTGTTGGACACTTGACTTTGAATCAACCATTGACAAATCGTGACCTTAAAACTTTCTTGATGCCACTTGAATAAACTAGGAACTTTGGGTGAATGAATGTTGTTGAAGGAAGCTTGAATGAATGTACTTTCAATTGCAGATTTTTCCAATTCAATTGAATCTTGATTAAAATCCATAAACGGAATCCTTGAATGGATGATGAACGAACTTGTGAGCTTGCTCGTATTGAAATGATCTTGATCACCTGAATTTTGAAATTTGTATAAAAACAATGCTTGATTCTAATTCTCACACAAAATCAACTTGAATTTCCAATGAATCATTAATTCATTTCCATCTTCTAATCCGTACTAGACTTGTACGTTGAGCAACAAGTATTTGAAATAATGACGCCCTGAGCACAATGGACCTTCAAACTCAACACCTTGTATTATGGTTCAACATGGTCTTAACAATCAACAAATCCTTGAGGAAATCTGGAGAATGAATATGGGAATACGGAAAATAGCCTTGACTTGCAAATCCAATGATCCTCAGTTGAATATTAACAGACGAAAACCCTAATTCTAAAGCCTTGAAGAAAGATTGCAACTTGATGTTGGGAAGAAGGAATACCCCCATAGTTTGGCGATAAAGCAGTCCGGGAAATAAAAACCTAGCTTCAAACAAATGATTGACGGAAACCAGTTTATTCAAGCTTGAATGAAGATGAGAACCTTAAAGCCAAACAATAACCCTAATTCTTCAACATCCTTGATCCCGTGCCACAAATTTATTGATTAACGATGCATGATACGTCAAATGGCCTAATGTAGTGTATGCAGATGAAATGAAGAGTGCAAGATGTGTAAGCTAGATAAAAGAAAAGGGATAAGACAAATTTGGGGTATTATAGTTGCCCATATTTAATCGTATTAAACCTGAAAGCACGATTGGCACATGCCTTTCAGAAGTTCAAGGTTGAAGATGATTAAATATCAATGCCAAAAATTTATTTTGGGAGAAAGTGTGAGTGTTTATTTAGTTTTGTGGTATTTGCCGAGGAAAGAATTTTTTGTTTTCTAGTGAAGAGACAGAGATTGAAAGGTGACACGACGAGTGTTTAGAAAATAACACGACGAGTGTTGGAAGCTGACATGACGAGTGTTTAGAAATGTGACACGATGAGTGTTACAAGGTAGCCTGATGTAAACACAAGGACAGAGAATACTGCTAACGTGGCGTGTTGCCAATACAAGGAAGAGATCAAACTTGTAATGTAGCGCGATGCCAATACAAGAAAGAGATCGTACTTGTAACGTAGCATGATGCCAATACAAGGAAAAGACCGGACATATAACGTAGCGTGATGCCAATATAAGAAAGAGACCTGACTTTTAATGTAGCATGATGCCAATACAAGGAAAAGATCGGACATGTAACGTAGCGTGATGCCAATAAAAAGAAGAGATCGGAATTGTAACGTAGCATGATGCCAATACAAGGAAGAGATCAGACTTGTAACATAGCATGATGCCAATACAAAGAAAATATCGGACTTGTAACGTAGCATGTTGCCAATACAAGGAAGGGATCGAGCTTGTAACGTAGCGTGATGCCAATACAAAGAAAAGATCAAACTTGTAACGTAGCGTGAAGCCAATACAAGGAAGAGATCGGAATTGTAACGTAGCATGATGTAAATACAAGGAAGAGATCATACTTGTAACGTAGCATGGTGCCAATACAAGGAAAAGATCGGACTTGTAACATAGTGTGATGCCAATACAAGGAAGGGATCAGACTTGTAACGTAGCATGATGCCAATACAAGGAGGGGATTTGGCTTATAACGTAGCATGATGCCAATACAAGGAAGAGATCGGACTTGTAACATAGAATGATGCCAATACAAGGAAGAGATCAGACTTGTAACGTAGCATGATGCCAATACAAGGAAGAGATCGGACTTGTAACATAGCATAATGGAAATACAAGGAAGGGATATGGCTTGTAACATAGCATGATGCTAATACAAGGAAAAGATCGGACTTGTAACGTAGCATGATGCCAATACAAGGAAAAGATGGGACTTGTAACGTAGCATAATGCGAATACAATGAAGGTATAATAAGAACGAGTGTTTGAATCGATACGGACGAGTATCAAAAGAAGATGCAGACGAGTATCAAGAAGGGTTAAACACGGACGAGTGTTTGAATCTATACGAACGAATATCAAAAGAAGATACGGACGAGTATCAAGAAAGGTTAAACATGGACGAGTGTTTGAATCAATACGGACGAGTATTGAAAGAAGATACGGACGAGTATCAAGAAAGGTTAAACACAGACAAGTGTTTGAATCAATACGAACGAGTATTGAAAGAAGATACGGACGAGTATCAAAAGGTAAAACACGGACGAGTGTTTGAATCAATACAAATAATTATTGAAAGAAGATACGGATGAGTATCGAAAGGTTAAACACGGACGAGTATTTGAATCAATACGGACGAGTATTGAAAGAAGATACGGACAAGTATCAAAAGGTAAACACGGACGAGTGTTTGAATCAATACAGGCGAGTATTGAAAGAAGATACAGACGAGTATCAAAAGGTTAAACACGGAAGAGTGTTTGAATCAATACAGACGAGTATTGAGGGAAGATACAGACGAGTATCAAAAGGTTAAACACGGAAGAGTGTTTGAATCAATACGGACGAGTATTGAAAGAAGAAACGGACGAGTATCAAGGAAAGGTTAAACACGGACGAGTGTTTGGGAGACTGACACAAATGAGTGTTTATGAGTTGACGCAGACGAGTGTTTGGAGACCGACACAGACGTGTGCTGGGTATGGACTTGGTGTAATGATTTTGCTGGAAATTGTGAAAGTGAAGGTCACCAACTGGGGATTTGGTAATGATATTCTCTTGTAGGGGTGCATTGTTGTCCTTGAATGATTCAGGTTTTTCGTGTAAGGTACCTGATCTGGCTTGTGCTTCGTATGCATGTTTGAATTTCTTTTGACGCAATGATCCATTATGATGGATCGGCTACGCGCTTTTGAAGGTGCGATGTTATGTAATGATAACTATATGCAATGCGAAGAAATAAACCTCATGGGGATAAGCGAAAGCTTGCTGGGAACCATTGCTCATCACTGGGGATGCCAATACATATCAGAGCTGGAAGTCTGCAATACCAAAGATTGTTGGGGATACTGATAAGAATTCGCATTGGGAGCTCATAATACTGAAGATTACGGATGACTCTGCTGGAGATTGAATTACCGATGAAGAAAATCTACCGATATGCCACCAAATTCTGAATTGTGCCGTTGGGGAAGAGATAATTGGCAAGACCTCCATACATCCTGAACCATTGAGAGGATGATAGAGCTATATATGCCGAAGAATGGGCATTGAACACCATGTGGATCTCTTCGCATCCATGCCCCAAGTTTACGCACTGGGGAACTATCTCTTGAATCACTTGGGGATAAGAGATGGGCATGGACACCTATGAATGCCCCAGTTTAACTTTACGGGCGCCACAATTTAGCTCCACGAATGACCCGGTTTATCTCTGCTAATGCCCCGGTTTAGCTCTGCGAACACCCTAGTTTAGCTCTGCGAACGCCCCGGTTTAGCTCTGCTGGGGACGTACTCGATTAACTCCATTGGGGATGCATTTGCGCATGCCGAGCCAAACTTCGACTCCGAACTTTTTGAAATCACTTGGGGAATCGGGTTTGAAATTCTATGTAGCAGATGAAGGCAGCTTCGTGTGCTGGCTAGGTCAGGGTGACCGTTATGCCGCTTTTGACCTGATTGTAGTCGTACAACATAATTGGCTTGAGAAACTTTGCAAGTATGGATACAGAATTCCCCTGTCTGGAGGATCTATTGAGAAGATCTATGTTGAATAGAAGACTAGAATATTCGTGCCACAATACGAGATGAGGTGGCCTGCCCCAGTCTCTTGAATCATGAAATAAACTGCTCTTGATTACAGCTTTCTTGGAGAGATTTGTCGAATATTGACATAACTGCCCCAGGTTGAATGGATTCTGAATATATTTCTTGATGTGATAGCCTCTGATTGATCTAGCTTGAAGAGATTTATCAATGTGATAACTTCTGATCGGTCGAGCTTGAAGAGATTTATCGACGTGATATCCTCTGATTGACAGCTTTTAGGGAATGCCCCAAATTTGGCTAAGCTTGGAGAGATCGATTCTCGACTTGATTGCCCCAGATTGGCAAATTATGCTAACTTCATACTTGAAGGGTACTCAAATTGTGAAGCACTAAGATGCTTTCTCTTGACATAATCACTGGTTAGCGTGCCCTTGGATAAGTCATTTCTCTTGTGACAGCTGACTCTTGCTTCAACAGGGTATTCAAGCCTTTCTTCTCTAACAAGATTGAGCTCTTTACAGGTTGTTCATTGTGTAAACTTACTTGATGTCAATCATTTATTTTGTATGCAGAAGAATGTTTATTATGAGAATGATAATTCTAATGCAACACATATGTAAGTCTTGAAGTTTGAAAAACTTTGAGTGAAATGATGTCACAACTCTGTTGTGAATGAGTCACTGCTAGAGAGCAACATTTTCAAATTCCTTTTTTTATGAAAGATAATGCAAGCATATGATGTCAACAAAGATATTTAAACATATCTCTTAGGAGTCAATTAAACGCTATCTCGTCGTAGCACGATTTCGAATATACCCATGCATCAGTTAGGACTTTTATGGGTTGTAACGTAGCCTGGTTCACGGTTTTAGAAAAAAGGATTTAAGGCTCAAAATTATTTGGTGCCCACCTGATCTGACTTGATCAGAAGGTTTGGACCGTCACGGCTTGCTCCGAGCTGAAGGCTTTTTGAACGAGGAGGGGGGGGGTACCTGCAAGGCACTCCGATGCTAAAGTCAGTGGGAGTACGAGCAGATAATAGAGTTGAGGTTAGAATGATGAATACCTGACCCTCTGGAAACAGAGGGTATTTATAGCCCCCAGCGCTGGGCCAAGGTTCCTTCATTGGGCCGGGCGGATTTGGCCCAATGGAGGAACTGCTAGGTTCTACGTGGGTAGTGGGGACCAGCACGTGGTCCCCTTCCTGGATGTGCTGCGTGAAGTGCGGGCGGACGGAGACGCGGTCTTTCCGGAGTATCGTTGGGGCAACGGTGGACTGAGTCTGCCCTAGCCAGGTAGCTCGAGACCATGTCGAGCTGCGCAGCACGGTGCCGAGCTCGACGCCAAGACCTCGAGCTGAACAGCGAGTGTCGAGCTGGACGTCAGGACACAGAGCCGGACAGCAGGGTCTCGAGCATGACTTCACCGCGTGGGGCTGGACATCGAGATGTCGAGGTGGACATCAGGGTGTCGGGCATGGACGCGACCCCCTTTGCCCAGTGTGGTCCTTAGTGAGTCCCTTTGGACTGGGCCTTAGTAATGCTTTTGGGCCTGTCGGGCCCAGTCCAGAACAGGAGCCCCCCAAGTCGTGGTTCCTTTGCGAGGAGCCACGACTTGAAACCAAGTTGTTCCGTCGCTGAGGTCTCGTGCCCGGGGTGGAGGTGTGGACCCTCGAGGGGTCTCCTCGTGTCGTGCTCGGAGACGTCCTCGGTGGTG